GGAACATACAAGGAGAAAACTCAGTCTTCGTAGAAAAATTGAAGAGGTGAGAGATAGCAAATTTAAAATATGGAGAGAAAAGTTGTGTGCAGTTGCTTCATTTGTAAATAGTTATAACTGTACATCATACTGCTTTAAGTCATTCAGTTCTAAGGAATTTACTCCCATTAAACTTTCATTATAGCTGTAATATATAAGTTGTTACATAAAATAATGAAGCGGATACCACAAACTATATGTGCATGAGCCAATTTCTGCTCATAAAGAGCAATTTAAGAAAGTTATTAGACACTATTTAACTACCTGTAGTCTTCAATATGGAGAGGACAGTTTTTTAAATTTAGCTGTAGTAAAAAATAATCATACCTGCATTCCTAATAAGAGTGCAATAAGAAAAGCCCATTCTAAACCCAGTATATGACTTCCATTATGCTTGACCTGATTTCTGTTAGGTCCTGACTTGTCTAATTTGCTTGTTGATATGAATCACAGAATATGAAGATATTATAGCGAAGGGAACACACACCAAGTGTGGTAACATTGTGCTTTTTAGGAATGGAAGACAAAAGAGATGTTACTTTTGACAAAGATCGGAGAAGATGTTAAAAGAGAAGAAAGGATAGAACAACAACGTCATAGAAGCAGAGAAGAGAGTGACAGGAAGGTAGGGTGAGCTTTAACCTCTAACTTGGGCTGTTTGAAGAGAAGCTTTTGTTATTTTGATTTTTCAAAGGAAAAATTATTTTGTGAGATGACTATGTACCAGTTACCCCAAATGATATATATTATACAGAACTGAACATTATGAACATTTTTCCTATATTTTGACTATAATGTAAAAAGTACTGTCCTATTAAGTGATATAACTACTTTGGCTTTATTTTCACACCATAAACTGTACTTGTAATTTTAGGTAATTATTATCAAATACTTCTTTTATCTTCTTTTCCTCTCTTCAGGTATATTAAGCTGCTTGAAATTATCTTACATCTCACTGAAATCTTTTCATTTTTTCTTCTCTGTTTTCTTTTGTGTGATTTCTGTTGCTGAATTCTCAATAATTAATCTCTTCTTTTGCAATGTCTACTCTGCCCTTAATGAATCCATTGTATTAGTCAGCTAACATATTACAAAAATTATTTTGATTCTTTTTATATCTTCCATATCTCATCTTTACATTGTAAACATACAAAATGTAGTTATGTTAACCGTATTAATGTTGTCTTTATTTCTAATATTTGTGTCATTTCTGAGTTGATTTTAAATAATTGATTTACTTCTTTTATGGGTCATATTTCCCTGCTTCTTTACATGCCTGGCATTCTTTGATTGGATGCCGGATATTATGAATTTTACTTTGTGTCCTGAATACTTTTATATTCTTATATATATTCTTGAGCTTTTTTTCAGATGCAGATAATTTATTTGAAAACAGTTTTATACAGGTCTTGCTTTTTACAATTTATTAGATGGGTCAAGAGCCATGTTTAATCTAGTTATTCCCTACCACTGACACAAGACCCATCTTAGTATTCTACCTAAAGTCCTGTGACTCATGAAGTTTTTCCCTTGCAGCTGGTGAGAATAGGCATGATTTCCATCCCTAGGTAGGTTCTAAGCACTGTTTCTTCTAATCCTTTAGAATGGTCCTTTTTATGGTTTTTAGTAGTTCCCTTACACACATATACTGATTCATTTTTTTGATGAATATTTCATAGAACCCTCTGAGAATATCTGCAGAATTCTCTGGGTAGTTAACTCCTTTCTGGTAAATCCAGGATCATTACTAGCATAGGGATTCACAAAGGGAAGTCACATTTCATCTATTATTTTATGTTTACTTATGGTAGGCCTGCGTGACATTTGGTTAAGCCCTTAGGAATCTTCCAGTTGAAGATGATTGAGAAATTGCTTAAACTTGCCAGGATAGCTATGGATGAGAGACTCATTTTGATCAGAAACTGTCCAGTGAGATAAATTGCATACAAGTGTTAAATATATTCTTTGTGGCCAGGTGCTGTGGATCATGGCTATAATCCCAATATTTTGGGAGGCTGAGGTGGGAGGATCACTTGAGCTCAGGAGTTCAAGACCAGCGTGAGCAACATAATGAGACCCCGTCTATACAAAAAGTAGGAAAAAAATTA